GAAGGGGTGCGGGAATTACATATTTGAAGGACCGCCGGGAGTGGGAAAGAGGACCATGATTCGGGCCATGCTTCGAGAAGCTTTTGGACACCAAGCAATGGAGGTGTATTGTATTATCAGTATGACTTATCACACTTCAAACCCTTCCCTATCTATTAATTTTCCCATATACATATAAAATCCACACGCACCCTACCGCGTTGGGTAGTGGTAAGAGGTCTCGGTGGTTGGCACCCAGGATTACTACAATATAACTATTAGGACTTTAGAATATTCGTAACCAAGGAAAATACTTAATTTTTTAAACTAATCTTGTTTTAACTCTAACGTGAGGATAACTGATCAGCTGTCAATTTTTCAATTGTAATTAATATTTAATAGAGGGATAGGTTGTTTTCACCACTTAAGAAGTAAAATCTTTAGTTCTTTATTACTCGAGATCTATCTTGTCCTAACCACTATTTGACAACTAATGATGAGTTGTCAATTTTCTAATGGTGGTTAGGATAGAAATAGGTCGTCCTCAATAGTTAGGAAGGGAAATACTTAGGTTCGGGTAAAAACCTATTCTTATGTTGACCACCATTTGAAAATTTGACCACTCATCATATTTCTAATAAAATTATTTCTTTTTATAATTCTGTCTTCTAGTTATCAAATATTTAATAATAGTGAGCACAAGATTATTAATATTCATAGGTTCCATTTCAAAACCATACAATGAGAGATCGAGGAGTAACTCAGTTATATTATAAACTCGTATTAGATTTCTTATCTTTTTAATGTGTCCTTTTATCTTTTTTATCTTTTTAGTGTGGGATTCTTAATAAAGATAACTTCTCACGGTCTAAATATTTTCCTATTTAATTATAATAATTTTTGCCCGAAAATACTTCGTTTTGGAATGGGAATTTAGCTAACTTTTCTTTGTTTCCTCTTCGTTTATTTCTCACAGATTAAGGAAGTTGTCAGGGTTTTTGACTTGAAGGTAAAGAAACTACATTTCTCTTGTGTGTGTTTTTTTTTCTTTCTTCCTTCTACACACAGAGAAAAAATAATTTCGTATTTTTTTGCTTCATTTTGCATTATTATTAATATTTTTTGTGACACGTTTGCAGAGTGAAATGGTGGGGAGAATAGAAGTAAAGGTGAGGGAATCATCTCACTACGTGGAAGTCAATCTTTCACAAACCAAAGGTTTTGAGAAACAAGTCATCGTCCAACTCATCAAAGAAACTCACTCCCCTTTGCCATGTAATCATTCCAATTGTCAAGGTATCACTTGAGAATCCATATAAATGAATTAAATTTACCCAATCTATCAGTTTAAGTTTTTAAGTTGAGTGATGATTTATTCATCCGTATCAGAACGAGAGCTCTTGTATTCGAACCCTCGTACGTGCGTTTGCTTAAAAGAACAATTTTTTCAAAAGGTAACCCAAATTAAACTCTTTTTAATCAGGTTTTGTTTTACTAAACATGATAGTCCAACCAACCTAGCTCTATTGATTAAGGTATCAATAAAACTTACCTTTCGTGTGTTTGAATTCCACACTCATTAATTTGACAAACGTAATTTTGATAAGTGATAGACTTTGGGTCGCATGTTTAAATTCTCTATCTTAGTCCTCTGGGAATGATGCAGTAGCAAGAGCATAAGGCTTTATACGGTATCATCTACCATGACGTTTTGTGTTCAAGCACTGTACTGGTCACAATATGTTGCTCAATCCAAACAACGAGTCTCGATTATATTGGGTCTAAGNATTAGAAGTATGGGACAAGTAAATTAGAAATGATGTATATTTTTGTAAATGGTTGTTGTAGGGATATTGCTGTGTGAAGCAGAAAAGCTATCAAATGAAACCCTAATGTATGTAAAATGGGCGATTGAAAGGAACAAAGGATGCAGCAAAATCTTCTTCTGCTGCTCTGATGTCTCCAAGCTTCTCCCTCTTACCTCCCTCTGCACTCTCATTCACCTCTCCCCACCTTCAAAACAAGAGGTAAATTCATTTTTTATTTTTTATTTTGTGTTCCAAAAAATTAAAGCTTATAATTATAAAACCTACTTGTGTTGTGTTTTTTCCTTTTTATTTTTTTAAAAATGTTAGTCGAATTTCTAAAACAAAAGTTCTCGAAAACTATTTTTTAGCTTTCAAATTTTGACTTTCATTTCAAGAACACATTTTTAAAGAGTAGATAAGAAAAGAAATAAAAATGTTAGTATGATTAATAATAATTTTTAAAAAACAGAAAACCAAATTAAAGAAATTTCCAAAATTGTAAAAACTTATAACTATGTTCCAATCTATTTTTATATTTGTCCTATTTTTTTATGCCGAATTCATAGATGTGTCAATGCAAATTTAACATTGATCAACACATTAAAATGAAATAAGAAAAAAAAACTATTATAAAAACATAAATAAATTATTTGATTTTTTTTTTTATGCTCAATATTGTGTGTACCGTACCGTACGTAGATTGTGGAAGTCCTCGAATTCGTAGCAAAACAAGAAGGATTCGACTTGTCGACTCGGTTGGCGGAGAGGATCGCCGACAATTCCAAGAACAACCTCCGACAAGCCATTCGATCCCTAGAAGCTTCCTGGAATAAAAGGTCAGTTTTGTCAATTCATTCATTAATTAATAAATTATTATTATTATTATTTATTTTTTGGTTGAGTGAATTTAGAATGGTGAAATGAATTTGTAGTCAATTGTTTGAAGAAGATGAGAATCAACTGTTGACTGGTTGGGAAGATGATATTGCAGATGTTGCTAAGAAGATTGTCGAGGAACAAAGCCCAAAACAGTAATTAACTAATTAATTTTCCCGGAAAGTTTTTGTTTCTTTTTTTCCGGGAAAATAAAGAACTTCTCTCTAAAATCTATTGTTTTTGGTATTTTTATGCAGGTTGTATATTGTTCGTGGAAAGCTTAAAAAACTTATCGAACATGATGTCTCCCCCAACTTCATTTTTAGGGTAATTTTCTCTCTCAATTTCGCCGCCACAATGTGTTTGTCTTTAATAATCGTGTAATACAGTTATTAAAATTTAAATTTAGTAGGTAAATTTTGTCTATCTTTATAAACTTTCTAGTTTCATTAGTCGCTTTTTTCTTTTAATACAACAAGTAGAGATGAAGATTCAAAGTCACGATTTTTTTACTGGAAATAGATTTTTAATCTAGTTGAGCACTGTTCAGGTTTGCGATTTTATTGGTGGCTTTCTCTTCTTTTTATAATGTAATAATTATGCATGTGTAGACTTTGGTGGACGAATTAAAGAAGTTTTTGGACGAAGAATTACAGCGTCGAATTGAAGGTCTTTATGCTGATTATAACGTAAGTTTGTAAGTTCATTTGATTTTAAATTTGCACCAAGAATTTTTTTTCTCTAGGGAATTAAAAAGTTAGCATATAATATGAATTATTATGAACAAGAAAAATCAATTGTGAATGAAAATATTTAAAGAATATAATTGTGGATGTGAATTATTGAATTTCAGAAAATAGAGGAAAAGACATTTGTTAGTGATCAACAAGGCAATGGGGAAGAGGCAGTGGCCAAAGTGCTGCATGACCCTATGAGAAAGAACGTTCACCACTTCATGAAGATCGAAGGTAAAAAAAAAATAAAAAATTATGTTCTAATAATTTTATTTATTTTTATAATCTACTTTTAATTTTAAAAATATAATTCGATTAAACGATGATTTTTATTTTTTATTTTTAAATTAAATTTGTTTACCTACCAATGTAGCCTAGCCATTTTTCAAATCTGTTACATACATTTTTTTAGAGCGTATTTCAAATATTGGTAGAAGGTAATTATATAAAAAGCATAAGATAATATGTATTTTTAAATATAACATAAAATTTAGATTTTACAAAAAATAACGTAATTCAATCAATGTCTAACTTAATAAAGAAAAGTCAAAATTGTCCTATATTTTGAAAAAAATGAAAAAGTATGATATTTTTAAAAATACATTTTAATTTTATATCATGGAGTGTAATTTCTCTTTTTAAAATCAAATTTCAGATAAACCCGATTGGGGGTATTTTCTGGAGAGAAAAAAAGAGAGAAAGAAAAAAAGAAAAAAAAAAGCGTCTAAGTCTTTTATTTACAAAAGTTGAAAAATTATTTTGAAAAAAAAAAGTGAAAATTAAACAAACAAAAATCATTACTAAACAATCTCTCTCTCCATTTTTTTTTTTTTACAGAATTCATAGCGAAGTTCATGAGCTGCTATAAGGGAGAAGCAAATAAGAAAAATTACTTGCCGCCATGAAAAAAAAGAAAAGGGAAAATCTCATCATATGAAAGCTTTGTGTTTGGAAAATGTTACTTTTGGGGTATACAGAGATTCTTGTTTAATATTTATACACATACTTATAAAATATTACATGTATAATTGTAATATTTTTACTTGGAATTTTTTTTAGGTGTGAGATAACTTTGACTCAATTAATAATATATATATATATATATATGTTTGATTATGATGTCTGATGAAGGAGCATTAATTTTCTATCAGTTATTTCGTTAATATGAACTCAGTTCTGTTTCAAAAGAAAAAAAAATTAATTTAACGGTAATTAACAACTGTCTCAAATCAAGAGGTTATGAAGTTCGAGTTCTCACACCCTTAATTATTGTAAATAAGTGAGCTCAAAAAAAAAATCTATAGGTATTTACATTAATATAAATGAATAAGTGAACTCGATATTAAAATTAAGTTTAATTAACAATCTTGGATAAATTAATTAAATTGAAATACTTCAAATTATTGAGATTAAATTGAATTGGAAAAGAGGTTAATTTTAGAACATTAAATACAAAATTGAAATGCAATTAATCAAAGGAAAATTCAGAACCACATATGAAAAAAATACATGACATGACAACTACCAATGAGTTGGAGCCATGTTGGTATCTTTCTTCCATGTTGGTGCATGTCCATGAATGCACATGGGAATGTTCTTTGTTTCTCTTTAGACAATCTCAAGCCAACTGTCAAACATGACAATCTAATTCAATTTCTATAAAAAATAAAAAAAATCATTTAATTGATTAAGGCATTGTAATTCATCTTATTTAATAAAGAAAAATAAAACCACCTTAGGCTTTATCCTTTCCATTAGTGAGCTTGTGAATTATGATTTGAAATATCTTTAGATCATTGTATTTTATGAACAATTTTAGAAACAAAATAACATTAAAGAATTGTTTTGAAATATATTTATTTTTTTAATACAACAATTTGGAGTTATAAGGGTTTGAACCTTCGACCTCAAAAGGAAGATGTAAATGAGGAGGATCCATTATACCTTAATCAATTTTACAACATGTTGGAGAGGAGATTTGAACTCACAATCTCTTGATTGGAGATATATGCCAATTACCACTTAGCTATGTTCGCTTTGGCTAATACCTTGATCAATTGAATTATGTTCAAGTTGACGTAATTTTATTGCTTGTGAAAATAAAGTGATTTATTGATGTCTAATAAGTTATATTATCCTCGGAACCAAAAAAATATATAATTTATATGAATTTAGAAAACCCTAAAAACCAAAAATTTCATTGTTTCTAGACATTCTTTCACCCATATTATAAGTACAAAATTGAAACAAATTGGTCAACAATGAGAATTGATGTGAAGTTTTGGAAGTGTCCCGTATTCTTTGGACGGAGAAAAATCCTATAAAAAAAGTTGCTTACTTATAGGCATTCGTATCGTTTCATCACCATTAAATTTTTTTTTACAAAAAGAGATATTTTTTATTTTTTCAAAAAACTTAAAAGCTGTCAAAGGTTTCTGTTGTTTATGGTTTCTAAATGTATTAAGAACATTTGAATAACTTCGTGTTTTTCTTTTGTTTTAAAAAAATGTTCTCAAAATTGTATTGAAATTCTAAAGACAACAAAAACAAATTCTTAATTTGTTAAAAAACATAAATAAAAATATTGTTTTATCATTTTTGTCATTCTTGAATTCATGAATGTCGTGGGTCATGCAATTGTATTTTTATTGGTTAAAAATAAGAAATAGAAACAAGAAACGAAAACTTTACCTAACGCACAAAAAACTACCAATGATTTCAAGTAATCAATAACCACAACTTCTACACCAAAAAGGCTGCAAAATCCCATCTGTACACAAGTTCAAACCCAAAAAACTCACAAACAAACAGATCAGAAACAGAGCGAAGATCTAAAGGGTCAGACCCAAATCCACTACCACAGCCAAAATTGCAAAAAGCTGTGCTGTGTGTGTATAAGTGTGTGAGATAGATACATAATACATTACAGACTCATCCATTCAGTGGCTGAATATTAATTACTACCATAATTCATTCTTAAAACTGGAGAGATTCCAATTTTTGAAACCTGGGTTTTGCTCCATTTGGGTTGAAAGTTGTTCAAACAGCTGCAAGTTGTTGCTTGTTATTGGAAGATTCATCTTCATCAAAACAGAAGTGGGATTTCAGCAGCTCTGATTTTGCAGAAGAACTACTCATGAGAGGAGGCTGCAGCTGCAGCTGAAGCATTTGTGTTTGGAGGTATGAGTAATAAGAATGGAAGGTGGTGGGTGTGACATTCAAATGGAAGCCTAAACCAAACAGAAAATCCACTTCTAGAAAGTTGATTTCTGCTGTGCTGATTCCTCCCACTTTTGCATAATATGCATTGTTGTAGTACCTGAAAGAAAGCAAAAAATTCCAACAACCTTCAACTCAAATTGCACATAATCAAAGCCCTTTTGATTTTTTTGGGGGAAAAATGATGATCATTGGAGGAAAATTCTGCAGCCTTTTTGTATTGTGTAAAGTTTGTATGGTTCGCAATTATTTTCAGCTGGCTGCCTTAGCTGTTGAAAATGATAGTGAGAGAGAGAGAGAGAGAGAGAGGACATATTCAGCAAGTAGAGAAGAAGATTCCCAGAAAACCAACAAAAGAAAGAGATCAAGACAAAGAAGAAGTTGCTCAAAGCATCAGATTCATCAAAATATTAAATCCCATCAAGAGGATCCTTGAAAATGGAGAGAAAAGAATCTCTGGAAATATCTTTTCTTCCATTTACAAGCAAAATCAAAACCCCAAAAAAACAAAACAAGAAGTTCCTCAAAGCATGAGATTCATCACTATAAAACCACATCAAAGAGATCTTTGAAAACAGAGAGAAAATCATCTTTGAAGACATCAAGTTTTCTTCAAATAATGCCCAGAAAAAAAAATAATAACCACAATCTGCAAATCCAAAACGTTCTCTCAAAACCCATCTCACATTAAAAAGCAGAACCCATCAGAGGCATTTTATCAGTAACTTGGCAGGCAAACGAAAAAAAACCAAATCCAGCACCGAAAAATCCCTTTTAAACAGAGTAGAAACTCACGTATCATCCATAAATTTGGCAGCAACAAGCACGCTGGTGATGAGCAATCGATGAACATTGAAGGAATTGATGGGCAGAGAGGGCTGCCTCTGGACAAATCGATCGAGATAAACGTAAGCAATTACGAAGCAACAGGGGCTGCAATTGGCGTACTTGAAGATTCTGTCTAAGTAGCTTTGGATAGAAATGGTGGGGCGAGTTAAGCCATGGAAGGCGGAGATTTTGTGGGATTGAAATTGAACTGAGAGGTTCCGATCGTTGGATTCGGCCACTCGTTGGAGGAGACAAGAGAGGAAATCGATCAGCTTCGGCATGACAGTTGGGTCCTCGAGTTCCGCCATTGACGAGCAATTAATCAAGCTTGAAAGCGCAGCTTCGGATTTTTTTTTTTTTTTTTCCTTTTTTTACCTTCTTTTTTTTCTCTCTGTTTTTGTGTTTCTCTGGTCGGCAGTGTCCGGCAAATTGGAAATGCATGGCTTTATATATAACAGTGGATGACGTGGGCGCTAATGGATTTTTATTTTATTTACAAGTTTAAATTTCATTTTGGTATATATATATATATTTTTTAATGTTAGTTCTGAACTTTCATAAGGTTTGTTTGTTTTTAAACTTTTAAGATTTATTTTGTTTTAGTTTTAGATGTTTAATCTCCAGACTTTAAAAAAATTTATGATTTTAATTTTTTTGATTTATTCTATTTTAATCCATACACTTTTTCGAAGTTAATTTGTATTTGGTTGGCTAATAGAAAATTAACTTCCATTTAAAAAAGAGCACAATCTATATATGTTTTTAAAATTTCTAAAGGAAGGCTTTACACCGTCTTTTTTCTTTTTTGTGTTTGTCAAAATTAACTCCAAATTGACCCCAAATAATATTTTTAATATTTAATAAAGTTGATAGACTAAATTTGAACATAAAGTTTTAAAATAAATATAATAAATCGCAAAGTAAAGAGACCAAAATGATATTAAAAAAAAAACCTATTTTAATTCTTATTACTATATGGTTAAATAGTTGAATCGAATAGAAACATTAATATATTACGGAGTACATATAGACGTAGCAAAGCCTGTGAAGACAGGTATTTAATAGTCAAATATTTTGTGACCAAATGATCCAAAAAACTAACATGATTATTTTTTAAGAAGTCTAGAAGTAAAACATACCGTTTGAAAATTTATAAACAAAAAAGGGAATAAATAACCTAAACGTTGATGACCTGTAAATTTAAATATTTCTTTAAAAATATATTTACTCATTTATATTTTTAATATTTAATGACTGAAAAGGGCACAAGAATTGGACATGGACTTCTCTGTCCCCTTTGGTAGGGCTGGTTGAGTGGCTTTTTAAGGGAGGGATTTTGAGTTGGAGTAATGATGTTTTGGATTCAAATTCATAATTAGAGATGGTGTGAAGTTGAATTAGACTCGTTTATTTCAAACATTAATGATTAATTATCTTCATTCATCAATGTTTTTACTTCAAACTGGGAAGATTGAGAATTCGAACATCTAACTTTCGATATATGTTTCAAAATTTTTTTTTTATTCCTAATATATGTTTTAATTTGTTAAACTATATTATGCTATTTCTTTTATTAATGTTTTTAGCTCATCATAAAAATCATACGTGATTGATACTACCATTAATGTCAACAATCTATTAATTAATTTATTGCGATAAAAAATAATATAATTACACACGATGATCTTATGGAAACAAAAAAATAATAATAATACTAATACTAATAATGAATAAATAAAAATAGTAGAAATAACACACACTGACATTTAACTTAACAATTTTCCTTTTTCTTTTTTTAAATAATTCAAATGGGATTTTATTTTTATTAATATTTCAAACTTGCAAGAGAGGGAAAAAAAGAAGTAAAAGATGATGGATTATGATGACTTTGGGCCATCTCTTTCTTCGTTTTTTAAAATAAACGATATATATTATGTATTTCTGTAAAAAGAAAGTTAATTTTTGTTTATGTAAAAAATTTAATGGTAGTCCAAAAAAGATGAAGGCTGATTAATAGATATTTAAATATATTTTTAATAAACTCTTAAAAAATTGTGATAAAATTGATGGGCAATTGAGCAAAGACAATCATGTGAATACATGTGCAAAAATTGGGTATCACAATTCTCAAACCAAAGGAGGAATTAGAAAAATAAAAAATAAAAAAGGAAAATAAAAAGGGGAAGAGAGAGAGAACATGTGTAGTGATTCAATTGAGTGAGTGACAGAACATGGATTTGCTATGTTCATCCAAAGCATTAGCATATGTTGTTGCTTTTGGTCCAAACACAAAGATTTGGGTTTTATGGGTTGGATTCCCAAATTAGGTAATCTAAAATTAATATATTACTTAAATATCATTAAATAATTATTTCTTCTAAATTCAACCAACATTTGTTTATTTTTTTTGTTTTTTGTTTCTTGCTGTAAAAACGTAATCGGTTTTGTAGTTATTCTCGTTTCATAATGCTTCCAAAATTATGTAGAAATTTTGGAAAATAAAAAATCAAGTTTTTTTTGCCTTTTTGTTCTGTTTTTCCAAAAATACTATTTTATCATTCTTGACTTATAAAATTCATAATAAATATAAAAAATTAAGTTTCATCTATCATTATTTAAAATTTTGGAGAATGATAAACAAGAAAGCGTTATCAAATATGTTTCCGTATTATCCAACACAATTATGTTTCTATTTATTAAAAAAGAAGAATAAAAAATAGAAATGTCACCTAAGTTGCCCTAAATTGGTAGTTCGAGATAAACACATCCCCGTATCAAAAAACATAAACTCAACTTTTTGTAACATTTAATCTTATGTTACAAGAGCCTAACCCGTGAGCTAAAAATCTCTTAGGTTGAGAATCTAGGTACGATATGCGTCTGCGTACTTCAATTATTCACATTAACTTGAAGAATAAACTCTCTCACTTTGATTTTCATTCAAAAATTTGGAATTTTTCCAAAGTAAACAATATTATATTCATGACAACTCAAAATAGTAAATCTTGATTTTCTGTCATTTCAAAATCTTGTATTAAATTGGTTGTGTTGTGACAAAAATGGTGATAAAACAACAGTAGACAGACATATTAAAAGCAAGTTGGAAATAGTTGTATTCATTCCAATTTTTGCAATTGGCAAGCTGGTTCCAACTTGAAGATGCAACTTCTCACAAGGATTTGAGCTGTAGACAGTTAAAATTCAATTCCATCTGATGACTGAAAAGGACATCATTTCATATGTTTTTATATTATCATACAGCCAACATTGACAAGATATTCGAAGATATTAAAGATTTATAATATGAGCTAGCCATTTGGTTTATGGGAGAGAGAGAATTGAATTAAAAAAAAAAAATCAAAACTTTTATCCATTGACTTATATATTATTTTATCCTATGCTTTCAAATACTATGTTATCGAACTTTTATCGTATGCTCAATGGCGTCTATAATTTCAAAAAACGATTATTTTGATTTCTATACTTTTAACTACGGTTTGTTTTAGTTTATAGACTTTTAAAACTTCTATTTTAGTCATTGTATTTTTTAAAAGGGACAATTTTGACCTTATTTATAAAATTTTAATACAAATTTTATATACAATAAAAATCTCTTTAAATATAATTTTAAGGCTAAATTTTAAGATATGTCACAAAAAAGGCTAAATTTTAAGAAATTTTGTGATCATACTAAAATTATGATAGGAAAAAAAAATTGAGATACAGTTGAAAATGAACATGTCAAAGTAATCATTTTTAAAAAGTATATAGGACAAATGAGACGTTTTGAAAATGCAAAGACTAAAATGAACAAATGTTGAAAATACGACCATAATAGACGTTTTGAAAATCCAAAGACTAAAACGAAGCAAAGTCAAGTACATATACTATTTAAACCTAAATTATTTTATTCATAATATAAAATATAAGCACCCATCATTTTACAAATATTCTTTATTGGCAATGATATTTAATATAATTTAAACTGCAAATAATGGTAAGTTAAAATTAGGTAGTGTATATTTGAATTTATAAAAATCATTATCTGTGATTTTTCACCAATTAAAAGTTCGATCCCAACCCTCATATGTTGTACTAAAGAAAAAAACATCCAATACTTGAGCTTGCTTGTGATTATTATAGCTGCAAGTGTTAATTTTTCATATTCTTTTGAAAATAATCATATTATCATCCAAATACCAACATCATAAATTAACAAAATCTTCACTTCCATATCTATCTCTCTTCCAACAAATGATGCTTAAAAAACTATCAATCAACGGTCAAGACGAAACTGCACCAAAAATTTTCACCCTATTTAGTATCTGGGAAAATTACATTCAAAATAGAAAGATCTCCTTCTAGACACAGATGGCTGCAAGTGTAACATAAATAAACATACCTCTGCTGAGTATTAACTTCAGATTTGACCCAACTCCCACATCCCCAAAGCAAAATTCCAGGTTGCTTTCACCCACTGCACTTGAAAAGTGAACCAACGGTCATCATTCTCGACCCTCTGCGACAGGGGCGACGCAAAACATATTTGCCAAACTTCTAATGACGATATTCTCGAAACCATAGATGACACTATCATTGGATCTGTCACAACTTGAGAAGTATCTCGGAGTCATCAGACTCGTACTCGGTTGTATCACGTTCATCATCTATACTGCTACCATTCCCTGAAACTACACTACTGTCGACTGTGTCGTTTGACAAACCGATGAGCGATGCGTATGATTTGTCTTGAAGATATTTTGACTGCCTCAACAATTCAACTAAAACCTCCTTACTGCCAATTTCACCTTCTTTCTCGCAGAGGTCGAAGTAAGCCAACACATTATAGGGCTTTGGCCTCCAACTCTTTGAACCCTCAGCAGAAAAGGCTTCTTTCCAACTAGCTACAGCATCAGAAACCCGACCCTCTTTAGTATGTCCATCGGCGAGAGTCTCCCACGTACTCGAATTTGGTTTTCCTCCGACCTCAACCATGTGATCAAAGAAGCTCTCAGCTTTGCTCACATTCCCTTCCTTAACATACCACCCAATGAAAAGATTAGCAATCCTAGGGTCGTAAGTCGTTTTAACCGATAGCCATTCCTCATATATTTTTTCAGCACCTTCAACATCACCTATCCTGATTAGAGCAGAGATTATAGCATGGTATCCTAGATTCGGAATGGTGGGGAAAACGGTTTTGTAAATGTTCCACACCCGATAAGTTTCATCTTTGTTACCAATGCTACCATATAGACTTATCAGATAATGATACGGTATCCGATCACGTCCCACAATTCTACTTTCAACCCTCCTCAAACATTCTTCAGCCTTTTCTATCAGTCCCATCTTAATGTACATTGTTGCCATTGTGCTGAAAGTAGTCCAATTGGCATTGATGGTCCTATCCTGTTTCATTAGCTCATATACTTTTTCCATATTCTCAGTAGATCCTTGTAATCCACAAGATGATAGCCATATATTATAGGAGTATATATCAAGTTGAATGCCTTTTTCGGTCATTTCCGACACTAATGACTCGACTTTCTCGTACTCTTTAAGGTTCATGTAGAGAGTCATCATTACATTGAATGGAAGCGGGTGCGTCGCATAACCTTTAGTTCTCATTTTCGCTAGTAAATTTTCAGCTTTTTCTCTCAGTCTTGCTCTCACATAGGCATTCAGAAGAGCCCCATATATCCTCCTATCCTTCAAGTTATCCGGCAACCTTAGGAAGTAGTCTTCAGCGCTTGTAATACCACGGACTTTCGAAATAAGATCCAATTGTATTGCAGCATCACTAGTTGTTAATCTAAACCTCTCTTCTCTATTGCTCATCCAATCATATATCTACAAAAGGCATGAAATTTCAGAACCGAGGTCCGAAACAGCTATAACGATCTACGTATCTATTTATGATGCTTCAAACTGGAAAGTGTAATCCATATGCACATGCAATTTGTGGAAATGAATAAGTGAATTTGAGTGCAAATACTACCGATAAACCGCAACAATTTGCATAAACACAGAATTATTGCATGTCATCCTTTTAAAGTTTAGAAAATATCATATAACCAGTTTCAAATGATTAACCCATATCATATATAATAGGAAGATAGAATATGAACATGTACAACAATATCACAGAGCACTCCCCATGACATAGGAGACTTTACAAGTTAAGAGGGAAATATTCAAAGGATGATATCCAACATTCTTCAATGAAATATACTGTCGCCCCGCAATTAAAAAACGAAGCGGTGGTACACACTTGATTGTTGTTTTAAAATTTTTTATTTGATAATGAATCTAAAAGCAAGATATTGAATATGGATAGGATACCAAATATTAAATTATCTTTGATCCAATTCAAAATCCGACGCGAGAGAGAGATTTCAAACTTCAAATGGCTTCCATGTTTGCCAAAGAAACAAATTAAACACAAAAAATGCACGCCAAGAATCATAACCAAGTAGCTGAACATCAGTTAACTGAATCCTACATAGAAAAAAACACTAGTTTCTTCCTCATTAACTCAAATAAATAAATAAAACACATAAACATCAGATTTCACAGCCCAATTTCACACCAATCCACAAACTCCAATATATGCATCCACCACAACCATCAGAAATCCAAATATAACCTAAAATCATCATCTAATTTACCTCCAAAGCCCTCTCATATCGCTTGTACTTCCTCAATTCCTTCACGACCCGAGAAAGCTCCCATTTCGTAAGCTTCTTGCCCTCGTTCTCCCACTGATTCAGCACACTCGCAGAGCCCAGCTCGGGATTCTCCATCAGAGATATCCTCCTGTATATGGCGTTCCATTTGACCATAGGCCTCCGCTCGAAGTCCACAGTTCCGTAGTTATGGACATGGGAGATGGAGCAGGTTACAGCGAGTGAAAGCCTCCGAAAATTCACGTTCCGGCGAAAGGCCTGAGCAGGAATCACGCAGGGCAATTTGCCAGAATAGGAAATTGACGATGAGAGAGAGACGGTGCGGTGGTGGACGGAAGTTTGGAGAAGCATCGTGGCTGCTCCGAGGGGTTCAAAGGGAGACGAGATTGCTCTGCCACTGCGCGCGAGCTCTGCTCTGGATTTGCAGTTTCTCGATAAGTTTTTTTTTCTGAAATTACATCCTTACCCTTCCCTCTCAGGCACGATTTCTCAATTATCTTCCCCCAATTTTTTTTAATCTAAACTTTCGAGGATTTTTTTTACTTTTGTTGTCTCAACTTTTCCAAGTTTTTTCAAAAATAATTATTTTATACTAAAGAAATTATTATTTTACTTGTTAAATATTTATTTTAGTCATTATAATTTTAAACCTGACTTTATATTAAAAAAATTTATTTTAGGTATAGAATTTGTGTTAAAAATTTTTAAATAAAAATCAAAATAATAACATCTTAAAGGTTATGATGATCAAAATAAATATTTAAAAAATATAAATTAAGGTAAACTAAGATTGAGAATACAATGACTAAAATAACCATCGTAAAAATATAGCAATAGATAGTGCGTTGATAGTGCGTTGAGATAATATTTTAACTTAATATAAATTTAAAATACGGAAGGATGGGCCAAAAATTAAAGAAATGGAAAGTTAAAGGACCTATCAGTTTTTCGTATAAAAGGCATAATGTTATGTTTTCGCTATTTGCTATTGAGGTGAAGTACGCGGCAACTCTGTAAGCGCGCGCTCTTCGTCTCCGTGGGGAGGCGGTTTCTGAGACGAAGCTCTGCTTCCATCGGCCGGCGAGGTATATCCGGCCTCCGAAATCGTCGTGAATTTTATTTCAATCTATTTCCTCGCAGTTCTTGTTTGAGTTTTCTCTTTGAAAGAATATTTTCGCTCTTCTATGGTTTATTTAGTCGGAGGCATGAATTGGATATTTTCTTTGACGTATTGTTCTGATCGTTCGAAATTGATCGCGTTTCCGGTTTGCTCTAATAATTCGCTTCATTCTTCGGATTCTCGGAATTGGAAGACGAAGGTACTGTGCTATCTATGTGATTTTCCGTATCTCTCTCGTCTTGCTGATTCTCCAATTTCTGAAATCTTCAGTAAATGTAGTCGTAGGTCTTGTCTTGGCGGGAAATGTTCTTACGCTCTTTCTCGTCATGATTAAGTACATTGTGAAGAGTTGGACTGAAAATGGATGTAAATTGTAATAGGATTTTACGTTGAGATCCTTCACGATTGGAAAACTTAGGCACTGTGGTAGCTGTGCTATTTTCCGTATCTTTATCTCGTTCGCTCGTTCTCCAATTTCTTAGATCTTTTGCAGTATATGAAATCGTAGGTTTCTCTGAGCCGGAAATGTTCTTACACACTTTCTCGCACATAATTTATTGGATGTAGTAAGCTCTTTTCGCCTTTAAGTTGAAATCCTTCTCAATTGGAAAGCGAAGGTACTGTGCTAGCTGTGTGATTTTCCGTATATCTCTCTCACTCGCTGATTCTCCAATTTCTTAAATTTTCTGCAGTAACTGAACTAGTAGGTTTTCTCTGAGCAGTGTTCTAACGCACTTTCTCAAGATGATGAATTACATAATCAAGGATTGAATTTAAATGGATATAATAGGCTTTTAAGTTGAAATTCTTCACAGTTGGAAATTGCAGGTACTGTACTAGCTGTGCTATTTTCCTATATTCTAGGGTCTCTGATTCTCCAATTTCTTAAATCTTCTATAATAAATGAACTTGTAGGTTTCTATGAATCGGAAATGTTCTTACACACTTTCTTGACAAGATTAATTACATTTTGAAGAACTTATATGGATATAATAGGCTTTGAAGTTTAAATCCTTAAACCAACATAAGAAGAAACTCTTTGTCTTGGATCTGTTTTGAGTCTTTAGAGGGAAAAAATATCTCATCTCGATTGCTCTATTTCTGTCGGTTTTTGTCATTTGGCCTCTCATTTGTATCTGTAGTATATACATCTTTTGTATCAGATTGTGTGTATATTGGCATTCGAGACTGTATAAGTCATTCAATTGAGACCATTGGACAATTGATGTTTCCTTCTGGGTCTCGGAAATTTTTCTACATTTCTTTCTTTCAGCAACTTTCCTCGTTTTACAGACACGGGGATGGCAAAATTATCTGCTACATTGAGACTATTTGATGCACATTGTCACCTCCAAGATCCAAGAATATTTGACAAAGCACCTCAATTAATTAGCACAGCAGTGGACTCTGGTGTTGTTCGTTTTGCTGTTAATGGAATCTCTGAGGTACGATAGTTTTGCTTTGCATTCTTTGTTGTATATGTTGTTTTCAGATTTGTGCTGCCTGCCACTCATCTCTTTCCATTGTTTTCATGTTCATAGAAAGACTGGCATTTGGTCAAGCAACTGAGTGAATTACATCCTTGCATAGTTCCATCGTTCGGTCTTCATCCTTGGTAACCACTGTCCATCTCCAATACGCAGAAATCATGTATTCCATCTTCTTTTACCGGCATGCCACATATTTGCGAGGTATATGGTTGATGACATTCATCCATTTTGTTGTATTTAGGTATGTTCCTGAAAGAACTCCCGGCTGGCTTGAAAAACTTAAGGAATTTTTTGAAGCAGTGCCAAACGCAGCGGTTGGAGAGGTTGGTACTTGTGGCAGTGGCCAAAGCTATTTCCTTGACCAATTTGAGCTTTGGATATTTTATTAGGAAGCAATTTCATTTTTAAATGAAATAGGGTGAAAAGATTTAAAAATTAAAAAAGTGAGTCAGATGAGTTCTTTTTGCTTGATAATTATTCTATTCTTCTAGCATTATCCCTGGAACCAGCTTAAGAGGCATGTTTTGGGTGATTTCTGAAGTTATTGATCCATGATTGTTGACTGTTTTTCTGGAGAAAGACAGTCAATGTTCAGGTGTATGACAGATACTTATACTGAACCTTTCATGCTTATACATGGTACTAGTGCCTTCCTAAATTATGTGCCCTAAACTTTTATATTCCGTCATCTTTTATCTACCTGCTAGGATCCAGGGTAGCACATAGGTCTTTAGTGATTAATTTGTTGCCTCAACTAGCAGAGGTATTCTTTTAGTAGGTTTCCAAATTCTGTAGGGCTCTAATTTTTACCTTTTCAGATTGGTCTGGACAAAGGTTCACGAGGAAGGGAGATCAGTTTTACAGATCAGGTGTGACTATTCTACATTTTCTTCTGAGCTGATGATAGAGGTCGATGATCATTGTCCACAATGGTTTCTTGTTTCCTGTCAAAAAGGAAATTTTAAATGGTTTAAGAAGCAAATTTTCTAAACAACTGCAGTGATTTTCGTTTTTTTTTTTATGATTCCCAGACTGTTCTTGACATAAAAAGATGCTGCAGGTTGAGGTCTTTCAGCAACAACTTGAACTTGCTAAGTCTTTAGAAAAACCAGCATCCATCCATTGTGTTCGTGCTTTTGGTGATCTCCTTCAGATAATGAAGTATGACTCTTTCTAAGAATTTATGGGTTTTCTTGTTATCTGTGCTGTTCACATTCTCAATGGGGTGTCAAAATATATCTTGAATTGATATTTCTTCATCCGGCTGGGTATATTTTATAATTTTTTATTTTCTTCTTTATAACTAATATGTTTGCGGAACACTGAACCTGGGGAACCATTGTTTAGCATGGGCGCTAGTCTTAGAATTTTCATGGTTTAATTCTCCTCTTTAGCTCTAAGCTCTAGAGACACATAACTCTCCAAGAATGTCTATTAGTCTTTTTGGCTGTTGTTTGTTTGGGGTAGGGGTGGTATTTGTTTATGTCAAAAGTTGTCACTTTTAGTCATGTCCCACATTTGTTTATGTGTTGACATGTCTTGTTCCGTGTCATCACAATTGCCTCAGATCTATGGGACCTTTTCCTGCTGGTTTCATTCTGCATTCTTATCTAGGATCTGCTCAGATGGTTCCTGAGTTCTCCAAGCTAGGTGGTTACTTTTCATTTTCCGGTTTTCTCATGTCCATGGATGCAAAGAAGGCAAAGAAAATGCTGAAAATGGTTGGTTTGCTTTTGTCATGCATATTGTAATTTATGGTTTTTTTTTCTTTTGGAGTTTCTGTTGTGTGGGTAAAAGATACCAGATTAGATATTTGTTAAATCACCACTAAATTCAAAAATTTAAACCGATATATTATGGAAAATATTAATCACTCTCTTTCCTCGTGACCTCGGAAATTTTCACAATGCTCAATGAGTGGTTATCAATATAAATTGGGGAGGAAATAAAATTTTAGGGCTTTAAACATATGTCTATCATGTTAAATCCCAAAAGCTTAAGCCGATGGATTATATATAATCATTTATCAATACTTTAACAATATTAACCATACGTATATGAAAGAAAATATACGAGTACAAAATAGGGTGGAAGTAAATATTTCCTAAAAAGGCAGTGGATCATAAAAATCACATCCTATTGGCTTGTATGACAGAAATAATAATTACAAAAACTTCTGTCTAGGGCGCACCATCTGAAAGAATGGAGCCCACCAAATCCTATATGTGTCTAAACATCGTGAATTTTTCCAGGTGCCCTCGGATAGAATTTTGTTGGAGACTGATGCACCTGATGCACTTCCCAAGTTAAAGTTAGACTCTATCTATTTTGTTGAAGGCGATCCTTCCCTTCCTGAAGGTCTCAAGACCGGAGAACAATCTGCCTCAACAGGCTCAGAACAAAGTACTTTGCCTTCTTCTACAGATGCATCAACACTGCCAAAAGAGACTCTCAATCATCCAGCAAACATCCAAAATGTACTTCAGTAAATCTCTTATTCATATCTGGAAGATGGATATTCATATTCATGCATATGTATAAAAAGTGAGGAGCATATATTGTTGGTCTAACAACTTGGCATGGCACGTGGCACCCATGGTTCATTATAACAAGCTTAAAGAAAACCTGCATAACAGCTCTCTGATGATCATTGATAGCATTTTATGATAAAGATCAGCTTTTAATACTAGTTAAACCTATATATAAAGTTTCTTTTACTCTTCAATATGAGGGCATAGAGAAGTAGAATCAGCCTCGGCTTCCGTCATCCTTGTTTAATTATTACATGCTGGCGTTCTTTAGAATCTTAAATTAAAAGTTTATATAGCTCTAGATAGTAGATTAGTTCATTTTTCATTATCAATTATGTTTTTATAAAATATATTTTATGCTTAATTCTTCTCTACAGGTCCTAGTTTATGTGGCATCTTTGTTGGAAATCAGTAAAGAAGAACTTGCTGAATTGAGTTACAGAAATGCGGAACATTTATTCTCTTTCAAAGGTCTACAAACTTCTTAGTGAACAGTCCGAATATTTAGGTGATGTTTATAATAACTCGATATAATTCCCTCTATTTTTCTCAATTCTCTGACATGTATCTTACCATATAGCAATGAACTCTTCTTGTGTGGAATGAAAGTAATAGGTGATACCTTTACAGTACTTGTATTCGGTATTGTGTACCAAGAACATCTAGAACCATCAAACGATGGGCAATGCTGGACACATGACATTTCAGAGGTAGGTATATGTGTTAACTAGGTCGTTAGACCACTTACCTAGTGTCCATGCATTCAAATTATTTTCGAGTATATGAATGTGATGGAGATGACTATTAGTAGGGACATTGCATTAAAGCTGCTAGAACCAGTTCAATCTTGGAACTGTAAGGTCATAAGATGAACAAAGATATGAGCAGAAGCCAGGTAATTTATCTGCTGAAACTCTTCCTCTCTCTCATCCTTAGATAAACTTGGTCTAGCTTCTCTGTCATAATTGGACTCTCACAGATTAAAGAAGTATGAAAAATTGATTAGTAGGGGGCATAAAGTTTTTAAATATATGTAATATTAGCTCGAGTCAATGCATGCATACAGAATATGCTTGTGACACAATCGGACAAAAAATTTATCTCTAGTCTATATGCCTGTATAACTTTTCAGCACAAAAACATATTTCTGCCTTTAAACTTGGAATGAAGAAATTTTCTTCAACTATTTGTTCTATCCAAATGGCGAATCCATTCCTATGCCCAGCAAATTCATTTTGATCATTGTCTGTTAACGTTTGGTTGGTGCTATTGCTGTTTATATTTAGTTGCTTATTCCGTAGGTGTTCCATTACTTTTACTTTTCAGTAATATAGTTTTAATAATGTAGAGCTTTTCTACAGTTATGGTGTAGTGTTGGAAAAATCTTTTCAATTTAGATTTTTATTTATTTTTTAACAGAATACAGTAGAGTTAAACCTTCAGAAAATACCAAAACTAGGCACTTGTCTGTGATGAGCGTGCGCATAATTGTATCCAGTCTGATGAAGATGAGACTTCTCGAAATTAAGGGAGATCAGTAAAGCCTCGTCAATTGGAAAATCTGGTCGGGAATTAAAATAGGATATAACCCTTGTTTTTCTTTTTTCCTTTTAATTATCAAGTTAGATTATACGTGAGATTGTGAGTTCGAACTTTTGATCTTTTTAATTGATGATATATTTCTTAACCAATTGAACTGTGTTCAGATCGACAACCCTCTCGGTTCATGTCTAAGTTGTTCAAATCATCATTCTTCATCTTTTAATTGTAAGTCAAGAATAGAAGTTCCCAAAACTCTTGTTAGCATCCTTCATTATTTATATCTAGTCTGCCCCTTGAAAACGATAGTTGATAGATTAGTCTTTTTCTCATTTTGGTCGTAGACCCCAATCCTTCAATATCTTTTTTATTTTTCCATAACAAAAGATAGGTTTTTTTCCTTCTATTTTTCTCAATTCTTTTATTACATTGTTTGTATCTAAGAATCGTGTACTATACTGATTTAGCTGTAGCCTGTAGGCATTGAATTGTGCACTTGTTTATTGCCCTAATTCTCCACTATTTGGCATCTCCAGTCATACTCCCCATTATAGTACTTTGTCTCGTTTGTAAATTGGTTCGATTTCTTCGGTTGGCATCTTACTTTTGCGGCACTGGGAGTATCGAAGAACATTTCGCACTGCCTGTGTTTTTTCAACAATCCGATTGGACTTGAAGGTATGCGATTTCTCTTTTGCAGACATCTTGGTCTTTTTTTTTCCGGATGAAGGAGATCCCTTTATTTTCTTTTTGTGTCTTAACCATAGTAGAGACGATATTGATAATCTTATAGTTTATATGCTAAGATAAGACTTTAAAGCTTATAAATTAAAAAATTATTTATCAAACCATGGAGACTAAAAAAGTTTGAGATTGATATGTTGAAATAAATCAACATACCTATGAAMGGAAAAAAAAAAATTACATCAAGTTATTGGTTTAGATATAAAGTTTTGGACGTGTCATGACTCGGGTAAATGAATGTTTTTAACTTTTGAATCTAGCTCTGATTTTGAGAAATTTCACCCGTGCCATAAACTAAAGGTGTATTTTTAAGAATAACTGTGACATTCGTTTGGTTTGCAGTGCTAATAAAATTTCAAATTTTAATATACATTTGAAAATACAAATTGTAAATCGCTCTTTTTAAATTCTAATATATTCTACTAATTTGCACGTTTTACGAAAATTCTATTCACCCCATTATGAAGGTGCCTGATTGCCTGAGCTTGTGAGACTAGAGATTATAGCCCTATGGTAGGTAATTGAAATTTCATAGAACGACGAGTGTTATACTGTTAAGATATTTATCAGTTTTTTTTTTCCTTGTAATATTATAGAATTGATAGATTTGACCTTTCTATAAAGTTTCGTGATAACCGTCCAGGAATTAGAAGTCCCACCAGAATTGTATTGCGATTGAGACAGATGATTCTTCCAGAGGTAAATTTGAAAGAGTTTTTCCTTTTTTTTGGTTAAACATTGAAAGAATAGTTTTATTCATTATCAAACGTTTTTATATAAATAATTATAAGTATAATTATGATGTATTTTTAACTTCAATATCACTAATCAATCTATTTTTATTAATAGAATAACCAGTGGTTATGGTTAAATATATAAAATAGTTTCTAAATTTTTATTTTTTTCTCAAATAACTAATTTTACCTTCAACGAATTATATATATATATATATATATATATATTAACATGTCCACGTTTACAAATATGTTAACATTTCAAATTCTTATAAAAACTTTTTTAACAAATTTTTAAAGACCTATTTGGGAACTTATAATATACTAGTTATAACACATCAACCCCTTATTAATATAATTAATTCTTACTAGTAGTTATCAATTTACATGTCATTTTAATTACATTTCATATAAATTACACCAGATCAAATCTTCAACTGTTCCATTTTTCTTCAAACTGAAATCTTATTGAAAAGAGTTGATAGAGTCTCGATCTGGATATTTGAACCAAAGATCCATGCCCAACAAAAGCTATAATCAACACTCAATTTTCAAAACTTAAGATTAAAAAGCCGCGTGATGATAAATGACTTCGAAAAGTGCCCTCCACCTCCAACAAAGGGTTATAATATAAGGTATATGTACAGTTTGGTGTTGGAAAAATGAAGGGCCAGGTTGGTCTGTCCTTTATCTCCGGAAGTGAATATTGACGACCGAAGGATGTAAGTAGGTTGTCTGTTGGACGGAGAGAGCCAAAGGCAAAAATGGATGGAAAAGGAAAGACGATATTCCTTTTGTTCGTCCGTCTGTTATTCCACCTTCTGGACCTATTTTAACACTCAACCTTTGTTAGCTTAGTTGGATTACATTTTCTACAACGTTAAACATAGACATTTGTTGTGTTTGTCTCAAGTTTCAAAAAAATTATTAAAAAGATAATGAAGCAAAGAAAAACACGGTGTAAGCTTTTTATAAGCACTTAAAATGGTTAGCAAACAAGATCTTTATGACAACTGTCTCTGTTTGTTTATTAGAGGAGAAAGGAAAGCAAATTATATAGAGAATTTTAGAGGAAAAGGATAGAAAAAAAGTAAGAAGGGGAGAGAAAAGCTAGATTTAAAAGAGATACGGTAGAATATGAAAGAGTTGGAGAGAGAATATGTTGAAAAGATAGAGCCATCCAGGGGGAAAATAGAGAGAGAGACTTTATTTTTCAAAAAAAAAATAATAATAAAGTACTCACATTTTTCCAAAAATATTTGTTATTGAACTTATTTTCTAAAACCCAAAAAGCGGAAAATAAAATTTCCATTTGATAGCATGTACTGATTTTAGTTTTCTGATTTTTTAATTTTTTGATTTTATAAACAAAAATAATACATACTTAGTGACCGTTATTTTTCTGTTTTTGAAACAAAAAACATAAAATTTGCTTGATAATATTGTGTATTTACCATTTCTAAAATAGTGAAAAATTAGAAAAATAAAGAGATGTTTTGGAGAGCGTTCTTTTGATAACAAAAGAGAGAAGCGAGAGAGATTGGTTAGGGATAGAAAGATACACTATCTAGTAATGGAAATTTGAGAGAGACTACGACTAGGAAATGTTAGAGAAAAGCAAGCAAGGGAAAAGAAAATTTATAGTGAGAAAAAAAAAAAAGAAAAATTAGAGGTAAAATTAAATTAGTGCGGAGTTAGAGGTAAATTAGAGGGGCAGAATATAAAAAGAGGAGAGAGAGAGACCGAGGAGAAAAAAAAACGCTCCAAATAATATTATTTTTTAATTTTTTTTTTAAGTTTACTTGAAATTTTAAACGTGTTTTTCAAAATTGATTCATCGTATGATGCGTCCTTCTCTTAACACAAAAAAAAAAAAAAGGAATTGTTACAAAAAGAAAGGTACTAAAATTATTGTGAAACGCTATGAATAGCTTTATTCAACTAATACTTATATAGAAAAGGTATTTAATTTGTCAAAAAACAAAGATATTTTACTTCAAAACATTACTCTCGAACATAATTTCCGACCGACGGACGAATAAAAGTGAAAGCAAAAGTTGTTAAAAATAAAATAATAATAATAATAATAAGGTGAAACCAAATGAAGGAAGAATGAAGAGATACATGGGAACGAAAATGTTACCTGATTTAATTTTGAATCTGAGAGAATATGGTGGTCGCCTTAAAATAAACTTTATAGGATGATCCGTTGATTGTCTGTGCCGATCGGTTGCAGAAATCAGCTGCAAAGCAAACTCATCAAAACCCCATGTTAAAATGCTGACAAAATTTTCAAATTTCCTAATTTGGGATCCTGGCGCCGTCGATTTTGATAGCTTGATTCAAAATAAATATGTTGCTAAAAACAAAGTAGATGTGAAAATATTTTTAAATTACGACATATTTGTAAATATTAATTATAAATTGGCCAAGATACAGTTCTTAAAATAATAAGAAGATTTTTCCATATTTGGTTCGGTCTCAGCAGAACTTCCCACTATTACACTCTGACTCAAACTTTTGTATTTTCAAAAGTTCTACGTTCCTACTTTCCAAATTTATAGTGACTAAAATAGTATTTAAATCGACAATATTGCCGACCAGCCTGGAAGAAGACAGACCAAAATCCTTAAATTTTCTTATTTAAAGGCTATCACGACGTCTTTAGAACCAGGCTTGCGAACCAAATTCATACGAAAGACAAAACAAAGGAGGCATTTAAACAACGAATAATAAATATTTTTAAACAAAAAAAGTTTGGAAACAAACCTTTTCATCATACCGAAAAAGAGAAAGGTCAAAGTAGGGAGATGGGCTCTGTGATTGGCAATTGAACGGTAAAGATACCAACATCTTCTTCACAAACTGTGCAAGTTGAATCGCAATTAAAACATAGAGATATACTGGAAAGAACATATGGCATAAAGATGCGAATCCCCAGAAGGAATACAAAACTAAGCTTCACCTGTGAATAGCTGGCTGCTTTATGTTTCAAGCTTTTTAGTTGTTCTTGAGCATGAATGCTGTTGGAGTGCGACGAAATGAAATTCATGCTCAATGGATTTCTTGATGCTGCATGGAAGTGATTACAAAAATGCTCGAATAGAACGTAAAGGTCGTCTGCTGAATTCTAGAGGAAGTATGATAAGAATTAGAAATTAAGGGGAGGGGAAATTACTTGACAAAGTATGGAAAAAGCTGGGAATCAAACAAACACCTGATAAAAAGCAACAATTTCAGTGGTCTCCATGTGATAGACGGCAAAAAATGCCCGGTGATGATCAGCCATTCGTGAAACCTAAATAAATATATAGAGAGAAAAAAATAACATCATAATCGCTGTGAATTTCCAAGAAAGAGCGCTTTGCTAATCGCAATTCAAGGAAACACCAGGGATATTGCATCAATGAAAGCTATAACAAAGTTCACAATACTAATGTGTTTACGAGGTTCTTTACCCTGAACATACGAGACTATAGTAAGTCGAAACAAGGATGTTTGTCTTGTCTGTTTAGGTTATGTAAATAAATGAGTTTCCAAAGTTTGAGTTCATCTAATCTGTATGGTTTATGGGCTTGCGATTTCAAGTTAATTTATACCTTCAGAAACGAGCTCCAGAAACTTAGAGACATAAAACAAGCAAACTCCTACATCTTATGTAAACTTGACTTTAAAATTCGAGTTAAACGCCTTCCATAACATGACATGTCACCACTCTCATAGAACTGGAAATCACTAGCCGGTGTAACTCAAGTTCAGTAATACAACAGCATCTCTTACCCAGGCTTGGCAAGGAAAAGCTAGTGGGGTTATATTTTGAAATGAAAATTGACAAAAAAAAAAGGGCACTCACCCCTCCATCTACACTACCGAGCTTGAGCAGCAAGTGTTGGCGGTCCAAGAATTGTACCTGGTCAAGAGTTCTGTAAACAACTAGTAACACATCATGTGTGCATAGAACACATAAAAATGGAAGAAGGATTATGAAGTGCAATCCAATTCAGGTCTCTTCTCATCACAAAAGATACAAAGAGAAGACCATATGCCAAGAAGATGTAAAAACTCTACCTTCCAAATAATCAAGTCGACATAGTCTTGAAAATGAAAGTAGAAATTCTTCGTCAAGCACTGGACCCTCTGTATAATAAATAAAGAAACCAAGCAATCAATTCCTGAACAACGATTCCAATCATAACATAAAGTATGAAGAAATTCAAGACAGAGACGGCTGAACTGGGATTAGAAGTCACATATAACCAACCAAGCGATGATCTGCTTCTTCATTCCATATTCGGCGGAATATAAATGACAACAAGCGTTGTTTGAGGCCAGTCAGAAAAGAATTGTTAGTGTTGGGGTGGTTATGATGGTAGCCATTCTCAACAGGACTTGGAAGCAATCTGCTTCGTTCAGGTACTCCCACGGACTGTCATTTATGAGTAGAAATTTCATAAGTAATTGTTCCATGGATGTAAGGCCAAAAAACATACACACACCAAAAGCAGTGTGCACTTAGTAAATAGAGTCGTTAAGCAGCCGCAAATAACCATGAATACTGATGGGCTATGGAAAGAAACTCAACCAGTTCAAAAATAAAAATAATAAGAAAAAAAACATGAACGTGAAGCATGAAGGACGGTTTACAATTCTTATTACTATTTATCAAGGGAAAGAATACGCTGAAAAAAAAAAAAGAACAAAACAGTTCTTATCAAGCATTCTGTGCTACTGATAACTACAGTCCCTTGACAACTAGCGAGCATAAACCATAACGTAAGTGTGTAATTCGACTGATTGCTAGGACTGAGAGAAATTTCATTATGTTCGCAACAAAGATATAGCAAAGAGACTAATAAAAAGCAGCCAAACATGCACAGTCCAGAACAGATATATGCAGTGCATCCGGAAAAAGACAGTTACAACATTAAAGGAACAGATCCGATGATAAATTGGCCAACAGTATTCAATCTACAAAAAGCAAGTACATGAAGAGAGGTACTAATAACCTGAAACATGAAGGAAGGATTATTTTTCTTCTAGTCAAAGAATAGGCTCATAAAGAGACAAAAATTAAAAACCACAATGTTACTCGCCTGAGTGCTAGAATTGAGAAAAAGTTCATCATCTTCACGACAAAAAGCGCCTATAGCTCGTACATCAACAAGGTGACCAGAATCTCTAATTTGAAGAATGTGTATTATCTGGTAGCGTAGCGACACAATCGCCAATAGGTCATCGTAGAGGAAGACGCCCGTATTGTGAGCCAAATTCACAAAATCATTGACGAACACCTTCACGTCAAGGATTTCTCCATCCTCCAATCTATCACATGTTTGGAAGTTAGAACAAAGAGAGAGAGAAAAAAACTCCATAAAAGGATACTCGAAATTATACCAAACCACGCCGTACATAACAGAAAAAGAAAAACACACAAGAAGACCATAGAACTCACCTCAGGAGGTGAAACGTAATCTTCTCTATAGAAGGAACTCCCGGAACAGCACCACCGACGGTCGGAGCATCTTGGATTTGAGCAGTGGAGGTAGCAAAAAGCCCAAACCGGTTACTCTCCATGTAAAGAAAGAAGTCCTTACAGATAAGCTCATTGCAGGAGGCGAGGGAGACGGAGTAAATCAGGTTGAAGAAGCTCTCAAACTTCTGAGCACTAGAAGGAAGTTCCTGAAACGTATCGATTTCATCTCCCTTGTAAGAAAACGAAAGCCACTTCGGGCGGTAAACAATCAAATCGCGATGATTCCTGCTGAATGTAATTAGGTATTGGCCGTCAACGGTGAACTTGCGAAAGGAATGGTCCGGACACTCAACGTCGTAAACAGTATGATTCGGAACTACGTTCTCATAGAATCGTCTAGCACAATGAAACTATAAAACCAAGCCGCAGAAAACGATCAAACACACACAGAGAGTAGAATCCAAACGAAAAGCATTTTACAGAAACAAAATCGTAATTCTTACGCTGGTTCCAGGAGGAGGAGTGGCGATTTGGCGATCGAAGATCCTAGCAGCCACATTGTTGCTTCTATACATTCCTCTCGTCTCGTGGCTCAGATTGAAGAGAAACTCTTGCGGATTTTCATTAAAGAAGATGAGGAATCTTACGAGGAAAAATGGAGGCGATGGTTTAGATTGGCGTGTGGAATGGAATCGCTTGCAGAAGCCTCTAAGGTTTTAAGGGCTTTGACAGCACAGGTTCTTTCTCTCTCCTTGTTCTTCTGCTTCTTCTTCGCTTTTTTTTCTTTTTATTTTTATTTTTTTTCCTTTTTATTTTTCTCTCTCTCGGTTTATCCACTATCCACGTGGGTTTCTTTACTTCTGGCGAGAGGAGAGCGATGACGCGTTGATGTTAAGTTCATTCATTTTATATATAGAACAAATTTTGCACGCTTCTATTTACTTTTTTTTTTTTCCTCTCGAGTGAAATTAAAATATATATATATACACACAAGAAATAACATAAATTATCAATTTATAGAATTACAATAAGAGGATGACAACGAAAATTTCTAAATATAGTTAACGGTAATTAACGGGTACTCATTCCTTTGAAATTAGAGAGCTTCGATCTTTCGTATTCTCAAATTATTATATAAAAAAATTATTTTTGTTACATTTAAAAAAAAAGAAGTAATTATATTTTTTATATATGCCTAGTATATATATATATATATATATATATATATATATTTCTTTTTCCTAATATTAGAATTGACTACCGTACTAAGTACTTTTTTCTTTTATATCGTAAAAAAAGATAATTATTTCAAGAGTAATTTTTAGAATATTTGGGCGAAGAATGGACAACCTTTTGTCACACAAAATTGATACGACCCCTTTGCTCCATGTAAAACAAAGTTGTCTTTTCACTTTGCTAAAAGAGCAAATCTAGATCTAATTTTAACCTAAATCTAATTTAATTAAGTTATAAATATTTAAATATTATTTAGTTAAATTCAATTTTAAACTAAATATCATTAACTAATTAACAAATTAAATCTATTTAATTATTTAAATAATTAGCTAGTTAGATTTAGATTGACTTACTCTGCTGTTAAACAAACCAACTACCAAATCAATTTAAACTAATAAAGTTATCAAAGTCAGTAATTGACATATACCTCCAATCAAGAGGTTGTGAACTAGATGGTAGGAAATTTATTTTTTCCAAGTATATATATTATTTATATAAAATGAAAATCAAAACAGGACTAAATGATAGCAAGAATTAATTACTTTAAAATTATATACAATAAAATGGAAAGGTAGTCAATTTTCAAATTCATATAGATTAAATGAAATATAATTAAAAAAAAAGTCATAACACTGCTTTAATTATTTAACGTTCTACGGTATCTGTCAATCTTTTCATGTCTCCCTCGCGAAGAGAGGACATCCTAGTGGAATTTTGACAAAAAGAAAAGACTTCATAATTAAATTGAGCAATTTATTATCGAAATTGGAACTATTTATAACTTTTAACAAAAGTGAGGAGAATTTTTATTTATCATTATTATTATTATTATTTGTGATTACAGTATGTGAGGTAAGAATTCGAATTCACGACCTTTTAATTGAAGATGAATATCTTAACCAGTTGAATTTCGATCAGATTGACAAGTAGTCGAGCTTGGGAGGTAAGAATTCGAATTCACGACCTTTTAATTGAAGATGAATATCTTAACCAATTGAATTTCGATCAGATTGACAAGTAATCGAGCTTGCATGCGTGGTCTTAACCAAACACTATCTTCATATCATATCCATTATAAAGAGACTATCATAAAGTTTGTTAGTCCATTTTCGGCTAAATTATAAGTTTGGTAGTTGATTTTTTTTTTTTTAACTTTTCATACTATATGTCTAAACTTGTATTTGCGTATATGATTTTTGTACTTTAAAGATTTTTTAATAGGTCTTTAATTTTTTAATTCTGTATCTAGTAAGCTGAAAAAAAGTACAAAATATATATGCCATGTAGAAATGGTTACATGGTACAATATTATTTGAGAATTAACATATTAAGTCATTTGATGATATAACAATTAAATTAACCAACTAAATGAAAGAGATTATTAAAATTAAAATTAAAAGTTCAGATATGTTGCAATAAACTTAAAAGTTCAGCACTTTTTCATTTGAAAAAAAAAAATCAGCACTTATTAAAAAAAAATCGCAGTGACTTGTTAACCTATTTTTTGGGTAACCAATTGGGCGTGGATAATATGCAAAAATAAAACTTCAAATAACGAATCAAAGCAATGATAATCTTCATCTATCACGATCGTAAAGACTATAGTACAAAAATAATATAAAATAAAATTTTTGGCAGACAATAATATAAAATAAGTTTAAATATTATTTTGATATCTTCAAATTTTGTTCATTTTATTCTGGACACATTCATTTTGGTCCCTAAAATTAAAAAAAAAAAAAGAGATTATTTTAGTCTCATTCATTTTCATTTTTATCAAATTTCTTTCAATCAAAATTTAACATGAAACTTCGCTCACTAAATCTCTTAAAATATTGTCACAATTTTATATTAAAAAATTTCTCCTGAATATAAAATTTGTGTTAAAAATTTACAAATAAAGACTAAAATAATCACGTTTTAAAACTACAAACTAAAATAAATATTTTGAAAATACAACTAAAACGAACCAAAATTAAAAATACAAAGACGAGAAATTTTAAAAGTAAAAATGCCAACACGAATTAAAATCAAAAGTACAGTGTATTTAAATCTATAAAATACTTATGTTGACATATTACCTAAAGTAAATCCAACTAGTGAATTACTAAAAAAATTAAAAGCTTGAAGCAGTTTCCCTCAACATATTATTGTAGACAGTAGTATAGATTATAGAACATTTCAATACATGAAGTTTCCTCATCTACCACCAGCCATATTATTCCTCTCAATTAAAGATGCATTTATGTCAATACTATCCATCTACATTCCAAGTTCACAATTAATTTTTGAATGTGACATGCATGCAATAGACTTATTCAATTACATGAAAAAGGTCAAACATGTAATTTTTATTGTAAAAAAAAAAATATATTTACCTAGCCCATGTATGAATAATAATCTAATCAACAGTCAATTACCCTGTTTCTTTCTCATAGTTGCAACTTAAACTACAACACAAAGAAATCTTAACCAGTGCCTATTCTAGAGTAAATTAAAGTGTAACAAAAGCTTTGCATTCAAATTATATGAGAATTAATATGAATAATTACAAGTCATTCCATTTAATACTTTTATCATAAAGTAATCAATTCACGCCTCAAAATTTGGTAGAGAGCATAATATCTGAAAGACTGAAATTCTTACCCGAGCTACTTTGACCACGCAGTAAAACCAAGGAGACACTATGATACCACTTCATCCATGTTTAAATATGTTGCTGTTTGCCTCCTTTTACAGTGGTTAACTTCTACTTTTACCCTCTTCTTCCATTTCCTACCAAAAAAGACAATCTGATATTGATCGAAGAACTGTCATCCGGAGAGAGAACTCGATTCCGAGAAAAATAATATTAAATATGGCGGATAAGTGCAGGGAATGGACGAGCAAGGATCAGCTTGGTGTTGTGCTTAAAAGCACTATTTGAGAGATTTGAGAACAAAGAATCACTTGTAACTATGACAGTAGAGCTTTCAACTGTATCTTGAAGAGATCACCCAGAGCTCCACGAACATCGATCTGAGCAAATCGAGCAAAAATCCATCAGAAAGGAAACATCCCTAATGAAAATAATGAATCTCGTTTCGTATGTGTTGGATATTAGATCTACAGGATAAAACATAGTCGATAAATATAATCCAAAACATTGACTTCGTCAAAGTTACCGATAAAAGATGACAAATCCAACTGTATAAAGTAAATTATAGAACTACTCCATTATTAAAGATCAAAGGATTAGGTCTGATTATTAATAATGTCCTACGAAAAGTTATGGCAGTCAATTAATAAAGTTTTTAATAACCAGTAAAAGTTACAGAGGCCACAATCATAGGCAGAGTTATCACCCGTGTCGGATACTGTTTAAAAGGTATATGGTTCATAATGCACACATAAACACGCCCACATTGCACAACAACATCTATCACCCGTGTCGGATACTGTTTAAAAGGTATATGGTTCATAATGCACACATAAACACGCCCACATTGCACAACAACATCTATAATTACCCACAAAAAGTAACTATTATCACTGAGAAGATTAAATTTGCTGCAGGAGAATACCTGGTCACAGCATACAAGCTTTGTAAGCAAAGGATAAAACTCTCTCAGGTGTCTTCTGAATATCTCACTATTCATAAAGCACATGCCTTTGATCACCTGGATGGGGAAATTTTTTTTGAAACAATTATTCTCTAAGCATGCATTTCATCTTGGTAGGTAAAAACAATTTGTTTCAATCATTAAAAAGAAGATACAATTAGACAATCACAATTATGCAGTAGACAACAAATTTAAACGGCCAACCGATTGATACCTTAACAATTACTGGGGAACGTAACTCCAAAACTCGATGAACATCCATATGAGTGGCTTCCCCTGCAGAGGAATGCAGGTCAGATGCCTCCCTAAGAGCCTGCTCACAAAACGACACTAGCCTGTTTTCAGCTATTCCGTCAACATTCTTTGCTGCACTAGAATCCGGGCTGGAAGTTAGATCACCATTGGGAGATGCAGTCTCAACTTCCAGATTATCTACAAATTTTTGTTCTTCTGCTTCAAGCGTGTTAAATCGTGAAGTTGCTTTCAGCAAGATGTCTAGATAAACAGAAGTTCCAGCTAACTCCTGACGAAGAAGATTCAGAGGAGGCCTGTTTAAGAAAAGAATTATGAGTATCTTTCTTTCCAAGAAGTTAGACATTTGTAGTAAAAAAAGTGAATTTTCTGTCTACCTCTCATCAGGAATATGATGCATGCGTTGTCTGAGATTGTTGTATGAGTTATACGTCGCAGCGAATTCCAACAAAGATAACAAAATGTCCATTATAGCAATCTTTTGTGGTGCATTCAGCTTGAACCAGTATTTCTTCTGCAAGAATGCATCAGCATTATAATGCGAAAATGAACACTTAACAGTACAGTTTATAGCACCTCTATTTCCCCTTTATAAAATTGGGCGTCCCTACCACATTTGGTATGAACTTCTCGCATTTCATAACTTTACCACTCATGGAGGCAAAGGATTGGAATTAATTAAAATTTTAACAGTTAATGAGTTATAATC